CCTTTGGCTTGAAAATTCCTCTTTTTGACCTGGTAATCATGGGATGCAAAGAGGGATTAGCAGCACCAGTATCATGCACATGAATATCTTGTTCATGAGTATCATTCCTCATAATTGGAAGCTCAACATACAAGGGTATAGTGGAGTTAGAGGATTGAGAGTTAATGGATCTGGATGAATTAGGAGTGTTTTGTGGTGTTGACAGAGGTGTTTGTGGTGAATACTGAGTACCATGTGAGGGTAGAGTAGGAGTTTTGTGATATAGATGGGAAAAATCCATAACACATGGAGCAACATTTGAGAAAACATAAGTAGGAGCAGCAGACTGACTTGAATGAGGTAGTTTTTGTTTGAAAGGAAATTTCTCTTCATCAAACACCACATCTCTGGTAATTATCACCTTTCCTGAGGACAAGAGAACCTTGTATCCCTTGTGACTTGGACTATATCCTATGAAAGTTCCTTTATCAGACCTAAACTGAAGTTTGTGTTTATTGTAAGGTCTAATATTAGGGAAACAAAGGCAGCCAAAGGTTTTCAGCATATGAAGATTAGGTTTGTGACCATAAAGAACTTCAAGGGGACTTTTGAAGGAAAGACCTTTAGCAGGTACTCTATTTATTATATAGCAAGAAGTCACAAAGGCATCATCCCAAAAATGTAAAGGCAAAGATGATTCAGCAAGTAAAGATAAACCCATTTCAACCACATGTCTATGTTTTCTTTCTGCTATGCCATTTTGCTGTGGTGTATAAGGACAAGATAGCCTGTGTTGAATCCCATGATCAAGAAAGAATTTGGAAAGGGACCTAAACTCACCACCCCAATCAGTTTGCATAGTTTTGATGGACTTGTTCAATTGGTTTTCAGCAAGTTTCTTAAAGTGAACAAAAGCCTGATAAGTATCAGATTTGGCCTTGAGTAAATACAGCCAAGTAAATCTACTATAGTAATCAATGAATGTCACATAGTAGTGAAAGCCATTTCTGGATTTAACTGGAGATGGTCCCCACAAGTCAGAATGAACAAGCTCAAGAGGATTTTCACACAAAGAGTCAGACAAGGAATAAGGTAATCTATGAGCCTTTGAGAGCAAACAAGAAGAACAGATTTCATTGATAGTTCTTGAATCATAAGGCACATTACAATCATTTAAAACTCTTATTACAACATCATAAGCAGAATGTCCTAATCTTTTGTGCCAAATATCAAGACTACTCTTCTTGGAATGAAAACAGCATTAGCACTGAAACTAAAAGGAACTTCATTCTTTGTGGAACTTGGATTCAGAATTTGTTGTCTACCCTTTGGAGTGGTGAAGTTGAACTGATATAGTCCTTCCTTAAGTGTTCCCTTGAGCAGAACTTGGTGAGTATGTTGGTCCTTAACAAGACAAGAATCATAGTGAAATTCAAAATACACTTTGTTATCATTGGCAAATTCTGAGACACTGAGCAAGTTTTTAGTGATGGAGGGGACATGTAAGAGTTTATTTAGAGTAAAAATTTTTGAGCATGAAGGGGATTTAAGTTGAGCTTTACCAATATGAGAAATAAACTCACCAACTCCATTACCCATATGCAGCTTGTTGTTGCCTTAGTACTAGACACACTTGTCATGTTGCTCAAGTCATTTGAAACATGATTAGTGGCTCCTGAATCTGGGTACCAGAGAGTGTCCATGTTGTTTTCAGCTTGATAATTTGATGGTGGAGGCAGTTGAGCCATGTGAAGTGCAGGACCTCTCTGATATCCACCTTGAAAACCACTTGAGGAGCTTTGCTGAGATTGTGAAGAGGACCCTATTTGCTGATTTGAAGGAGTGTAGTTGGTGTCAAATCTATACCAGCACTTATCTACAGTGTGACCAGAGACCCAACACACTTGACAAACTGGTCTTTGTCCTTGAAAACGGCCTCCTCTTCCTCTAAAACCACCTCTGAACCTGCCTCTTCCTCTACTAGAGAAACCTCTTCCTCTTTGAGAGCTTTGGTTGTTGTTCTGAAAATTTCCTCTATTGATGTTGTGAGCAAGATTCAATGATGGCTGAGATCCATCTGAGTTTACATTACCAGTTCCATTATTGTGGTTGATCATACCACTTGCTTCTAGCCTAGACTCATAACTCAGCAATAGTGCTTGAACATCCATGACAGTCCAAGTGTCCATTCTTGAGGTAACTGTTATCATAACATGATCATACTCATTTCCAAGGGCAGAGATGATATGTAAAATCTGATCTTTCTTAGAGACTCTAGCTCCCACTGATGCTAACATATCAAAACAACTTTTCATTTTATTTAGAAATTCCCTCATGCTGAGACTACCCTTCTTCATAGTTTGAAGTTGCAACTTGTATTGCATCTGCTTGGCCAGAGATTGACTTACAAAGTTTGTTGAGAGAGAGTTCCAGATCTCCTTGGAGGTTTGAAGGCCTACCATTTGCACCAGAAGCCCTTCAGAAAGGGAGGAGAGAAGCCATGAAGCCAAGATCTGATCTTGTCTTTGATAAGTGGTGTACTCAGGGTTAAGCACTTGATTTCCCTCTTGTTCTATAAACTGAAGTGGTTCATGTCCTCCAAGAATGAAGTGCTCAAGGCCGTAGCCTCTGATGGAGATCAATGCTTGTTGCTTCCATATCAAGTAATTTCCTTCATCTAACTTGATGGTCAAGAGCTGGCTTTGAGGATAAATAACTTGCAGCTGAGATGAGGATGGAGGAGGATGTCCTATTGTTGAAGAACTTGATTGAGACATTTTTTTTTTTGGAGAATCAGATTAAATCGAGAGGAGAAAAACAATAAAATGGATCAGAGACAG